GAATCAGAACGAGTATCTCCGATACTGCACAACTGGACTGGTAGGTTGTTCACAATCTGCCATTGTTACTATTTATGCAAAGAGGATACATAACAATGAAAGCAGCAGTAGATGGCAAGATGTTGGACGTCCATGTGTCATCAAAGAAAAAGGATGTTGGAGACTATCCTGCTTGGTACAGCAAAATTGGTGCCAGACAATGGCTCAGCCGACAGCTAATACAATGTAGGTCGAAGTATAAACGTGTCGGAACAAAAAGTTCAGTGGACACTGTTAGATATGGGTCTGTGCAGCAGATGTCCTACTCATGTGCCTCTGTTTAACAAGCGCCATTATCAACTACGCCTACACTGGCACCAAGAACATCGAGACTGGACCATGCATAATTGTAAGACATGAATCATGCTTTTCATTCATCATGTTGATTGTCATGTCAAGGTATGCTGTCTTCCAGGTGAACAGTTGCTTTGCCTTGTACAGATCATACAGGTGATTGTATTTTGCTTTGGGGAGATGTTCTTATGGGTGGCTCTGAGACCCTTAGTTGTGGTAAAACAGACCATGAAAGCTGTGTACTATCTCAACATAATTGAGGATCAGTTGCAACCTTATATGCCATCTGTCTTCTTGACTGGAAATGGAATCTTCCAGCAGGACAACACTCCATGTGAGAAAGCTCAGATTGTGTTGGAGCGATTCGAGGAGCATAAGGATGAATTCCAATTAATGTCTTGGCCATCTAACTTGTCAGATCTTAATCCAATAGAGCACATTTGGGATGTCCTGGAGCAGCAGCTCAGATGTCCTGGAACACCACCACGTCGGAGTATTTTGACTTTGCATGACCTCTGCTTAGACATTTGGTACAACTTGTCTATAGCCATCTACTAAGAACTTGTGGCATCCATACGAAAGCAAGCTGCAGCTCTTGGCTTAATCCTAGTATATGGTGCACATGAGAGTTGGCGAAATTCGGGTTTAAGAGACTAATAAGTGCACCAATTGTGGTAACCAAGCCGATTTTGGATGCTCTGGAGGAGAGTGCATTTGGGAGCATTTTCGCACATGCTCATTAAATATTTTAAATTGAGAAGTTTTGATTGGTGCAGATGAAAGAGAAGAATTATTTCAAACCATTGTTTGAAGTTCCGTTAATCTTCTGTCTTCGGCTGAACTGAATGAGAAAGGATAATGTATGTTTCGGGTAAAATTTATTTATCTTTTATTTTTTGTATTTTTTAATATAACAGTAGTAGTTCCGCCGAGTTTCTGATTGGTTAATATTTTTTAATTAATGGGTTTTTGGTCAGATACTGAATATGATTTTAGTTTGATAACGTCTTTTATTCTACAGTTCGAGTTGGTAACGTATTTTGTTCTACAGTTCTATTTGCTAACGTATTTTGTTCTACAGTCGGATAAACGTTACTTTTCGATTATGATGAGCAGTGCTATGCATTGAGAATATTTAAACACGAAAATTTTTTTGGAAGTTAGGACTGGAAGAAAAGCTTGCTGTAATTCAATGGGCAGTAGATGCCAGGATTGCACTGCCGAAATTTTAAAAATCGCGCCATGGCCGTATCGTTTGATACTTGGGATTTGGAAGGAATGTGGAGTGCTGTTGAGCGTGGGATGAAGGGGACGAAAAAGGTAAGCGAAAAGTTTGACTCTTATTTGATGGAATATACGTATGTGGCGGTGCCTGAAAAATAATAAATTGTCATCCGAAAAAATGAAAAACTTTATATTTGCAATAAAAGCAATATATCCGCCACCCGAGTTTGAGGGCCATGGCATTTGAGTTATGATATAGACCCTAAAACATATGTGACACTGAGCCATGGTATTTAATTTATTATATTTGATATGTGAATGTTTTGTATTTGTTGCGATGCATGTTGAAAATTATATTTTTATTTGTTATAAAGTCTGTTAAAAATTATTTTCAATTTCTAAATGCTTGCTTTTTTTCTTGTGTCTCACCGTATGCTTAGGATTTATTATCTTATGATTATCATTTTGTTTACTTTTTTTGCCAACTCAAACTTGTGGTGATGCCAAAAATTTGGCGACAAACGTAAATGCATCATTTTGGTGTTGGCGACAATTTTAAAAATCGCGCCAAAGCCGCACCGTATGCTAGGATTTTACCCAGCTCTTCAGTGTGTACTATTATTTTAAGTATCCTCTACGGGCAGGGCGAGCACCAGAGCCGGTGCAACCTGTGCAATCGCACTGGGCGGCAGAACTTAGGAAATGGCAAACATTTTGGAATTTAACGAAAAAATCAGGCAGCAGAATGTAGAAGTTGCAGTGCACAGCAAAATGTCTAGTGCTGGCCCTGCCTACAGGAACAATTTATTTGGCATCCTTTGAAACTAGGTACCCTGAGTGGTTGATTTATGCTTGGAGCCCTCCTTTCATCTAAAGTTCTGCTCTGTTGCTGAAAATGAATGCTGTAAAAAAACTGAAAGATAGTAAGGTAGTACTTAAAAGCAGTCTAGATTGGACCTTTTCAATTAAAATTAATGATTTCAGTAATCTCAAAAGAGTTAATATAGTCTCTATAATCGCATAACACATTTTGGTAAAATCCTAGTATTGGTTAGCCTTGGCGCGGTTTTGAAAGTTATCGCCAACACCAAACATGATCCAAAGAACGTCTATATATATACTATAATGTATATACATTGTGTATACATAGTATATACTATGTATAACTATATATATTCTTCGAATGACCCGTTTACTACTCATCGTATATGTCCAGTTTTTACTGCTCATCATCAAAGTCGCCAAAAGTAGCCAAATCCCGTGTGCACCGGATACTAGGATTAAACCCACATTTTTTAATTTAGAAACAATCATTAATCACCTCTACTAGTAAATACTTTCAGATAATGAATGGTTGCTACATTAAAAAAGGGCTCTTTCCTGAAGGAAACGTATACTTGACTCGGACTTGATCAAACTCTTGGAGAGAAATCAAAAATCTAACATACTAGTTTGAATTTTATAGAATTGCACTGATACTTTTTAAATGCGAAAAACAAATGCAGTCTTGATGATTGCAGGCAGAATTAAAATATCTTTAGAATATTATTCATAGATAATTTTAATTCTTTGAATACTTTCTATTTACATTGATCATGACAATGTTTATGTTAAACAGTTACAAAAAATTAAAAATGTTGTATTTGGTCTTAATAATAAAAAATTTAAAGACTTTTTAGTAACAATGTGAGAAAAATTTTTTGAACATTTCTTGAAAATAATACATGGCATATGACCTAATCCAACCAATTTCTTATGTGTAAGATTTCAAGGTAAATCAGACTAGCAGCTTTTACGTCAAATTCACACAAACATTACCTGTAAGAAATTAAGATTAGTATAGGTAAATTTGAAATGATACCTTTTGATATGTCTGGCAAATGCCTTCTAAAGAATGCTTAATTCCTTCTAAATGATACTGTATGTATATTTATAGCTTCAATACATAAAAACCATAAATAAGACCAAATCCAAATGATAATTAAGAAAATAAAATTATATAAAAATTGAAAGATTTCAGATTTTATATTACTCCAAAAACATGTATTTTTTCAAGACACACATTTCAAGAGCATTTTAGCTAACGTTCCTTTAGGCTAAAAAAATTTCAAAACAGCATATCTTTAGAATTTTTACAGACAGCTGGAGGTAAAAATGTTTTATTCCCTATAGTGTTGCTACCACTCATTTTGAAATTAAGTTTTTTAATCAAAAATTCGTTCAAGTTTTACAAAATCTGAAACAGACAATAAAACAAATTCTAAATTTGGGTTTCCAGGTGCCAATGTTTGGGTGAGGACTATATTATTCAAAATTTGATGACTCTAGGTACTGCTGTTTTTTCATAAAGCAAGAAATATACATACATTCATGCGGATTCTTCATTATTTAGCATCTTTAAACACAATACAGGGTGATAATATTTGGTGGCAACAATCTGAAAAGTGTTCAGATTCCAAATGCTGTTTCGAAACTAATAGCCCTTCTGACCTTTAAAAAGTACATACCGATACATAAATTTGATATTCAAAATACTACTAAGCATATTTTACTACTAAGCATTTGACTGTTTGCCACTATTTTGTGTTTGCAAATTTATTCTGTTCTGCTTTTTTAACTAGATTTGAAAAAATATATTATTAAAAACGTACAAAATACACTTTTCCACTTCTACAAAATAATTAATGAAATTTTGTATGTTACCTATGAGAAGTACCTGACAAAAATAATCATACATATATAATTATTCTTCCGAGTTTTAAGATGTGTATCACAGTATTAAAGTTAAATTCTTAAATACAATTCTTTACGCATCAAAGCCTGAAGGGTGGGAAAAACCCTGAAATTTTGGAAAATATATAAAATCTTTCAAAATTGTTCAGAAGTCAAATTCGTAACAATATGCTCACTAATTTATGTAACACGTAGGTGCTGTGTCTACTGATGCGTATCGTATTTACTATCGTACTATATTACAAATATGAAAGAAAATTACAGGAGTCTCTTAAAACATTTTATCTGTGTTTATCTTACTGATGAGAAGATAAATCATGCTACACAAAAAGTGAAAAAAAAAAAAAAAAAAAAAAAAAAACTGAAATATATATATATACATATACATAATCTAGATTTCTATATGTACTGAATGAATTTCATTAACTTGCATAAATTGTACTTATAATTAAAAACAAAGTCAGCAACTACATTTGCAATCGATTTTTCTTTTCAACAGATATAAAAATTACTTTTTTAAATTTTCACTGTTTAAGTGTACAGATAAGATGTAGCCTGGTCATTTAAACAACACTGTATACTAAATGGCATTATGCGACACACAGATAATAGCTGACATAGCACTTTGTCAAAAATTACATAAAATGCATTTAAAGATGACGAATACAAAATATTTGCGCAGATTTAAGATATAAGATATAATAACTCACCGCGGTCACTAGATAGAATATATAAATATGAAAAAATGCTATAATTATTTTAGGATACGTTAGTAAAGGGACATATTAGAAAAATCAAACACGTGCGTTGCAAAAGTTAATGAAAGACACCATAGGGAAAGCGAATAAAGGAGAGAGAAATAAGCGGCATTCTGAATGCTGCCAAATTTGAATTACAAAATTATATAAAGTATTAATTTATTTTCATATGGCGCAACGTAATTTGTATCAACATTTCCTTTAAACTTTATAGAGTTATTTAAAGCAATATCTCTTAGAGCATTGGGGATTTCGCATAGAATATGGAGCTTTTCCCATTCTGCTTTTAGGTCCGCTTACACTAGTGGAACATTGAGCTTAAGAACCGCATATGAAGTTGAAGAAGATATTCTGAGGTAACATTTAACTCTTAAAATTTTGAATAACGTTATCACTTAGGTTGCTTATTTAAATGGGTATATATTCAGTTTTATTTATTAAAAAAAAAAAAAAAAAAAAAAAAACGAGTAAACTTTTTCACCTTTCAGCTTCGCGTGCGTTTCTTAGGCTCAAAGTACCCCTAGTGTAAATAGGCCTTTTAGTTCGCAATTAAACAAAGTTGTTCACGAAAACATTTTTCACAAATTCTACTATCCTCTAGTCACTATTCTTTAAAACCTTAAACCCTAAGGACTGACGAATATCAGTTCATTCGATGGCATTTGCTGACCGAACGATCTATATCTGGTAGTATATCAATGGTGTTTCAACTTTACTGTTTTTCAGACATCTTTAAAAGAATGCTTTAATTTTATAATATTAGAAAGTACAATATGTTAATTTTTTGGAGTAAAACTGCTTTACACACTTTGCATAAATAAATAAAATAATAAATGCAGTAGAAAATAAGAAATAAAATACACTAGAAAATAAATAAAAAATAAAATATAGTAAAGTTCCATTTATCGATGGATGCTGCTTCGAATAACTGAACACTGGGATAAAATTAAACAGTCATCAAATTTCGATTAAAGGATTATGTATATAAAATATATGTTTTCCAATTCATATAAGTTGACCTTCCTTTCCTGAGTTAAAAACAGGGCACTGAGATCGCACAAAGATGACTAATGACGACAAGGGAATATGCTAGAAAATGGTTATTATATATACGTACGGTGACCATATTTTTTCGGAGAAAATAAAGGACACTTGTAACGTGATATGAGGGGGGGTATGGTAATTTAAATTCGTGCTCAATAATTTTGTGTTAGGGGTGGGGGTTTGTGCGTTCGTGTGACGTCACAAATGTTAATTTGGGGTCTTCCAAGGTGTGACAAATTGTGACATGGGGATTGGGGATGGGCAGGGTCAAAATTATCCCAAATATTGCGATCATTTATGGACGCCTCCTGATAAAAAAAACTCCAAAAAACTTAGTAATTCAAAAGGTTTATTAAAACAATAGAAGCAGACATTAATATGTTCAACGAGTTTTAAATAATGTAATATGTAAATATAGGATATTAAATAATTTATTGCTCATACTTTCCAGATGTATGGATTTTTCGCAAAAGTGCCGGTTCACGCTTCAAAAAGTCGTGAAATTCGACGATTTCTCAAAATAAAGGACAATATGCTTATTTCAGGAAATAAATAAAGTTAGAGGACAGAGCCTTCAAATAAAGGACTGTCCTCTGAAATAAAGGACGTCTGGTCACCGTATATATACGTGATCAACTTACAGTTTTAATTCAGCAACACACTCAATTTATTGCAAGAGAATCGTATTTCAAGAAAACTGTAATATGAATATTTCTTTGAAGTTATTGTTAAAGACTGTACAATAATTAATATCGTTATTTATCGTCCTATTTCCTGTTATTGATATCGTTGTCGTAATTTGTGTGTTATAAAAATACCAAAAAAATTATAAATCTAAAAAATAAAAATTAAAATTAAAAAATTAAAAACCAAAAACTTCCTATTCCTAAACTTTCTGAAGCTAATACGGCTTCCTCTAGTTGTGCATCATGATAACTATTTATGCATTTTTCCTATTTCTGCTCTCTATTTAGATATTTTTCTGATGTGGATTGAAACAAAGGTATTCCGTAATTTATAATCATTGGCATTTGCAAATTAAATAATGAAAAATTTGCATAAATATATGCATATTTCTCGCATTTTGATAAAACAACGGTACATAGAGCCATCAAATTTTGAATGACGTAATCCTACTACGAATATGGGCATGTGGAAGCCGAAATTTAGAATTTGTCTTATTATCGATTTCGTATTTCGTAAAGCATTAAAGAATTTTTGATTAAAAACTCAATGATTTCAAAGCGAGCAATAGCAACGTTGTACAGAAAAAACATTTTTATTTCCAACGCGCGAGACCCTGTATCGGAAACTCTAAAGATATTCTCAATTTAAAACTGTTTTGCGATACTGCTGTTGAACTGAAATTTATGGTTTAAGTGCGAAGAACGTGGTACTAAAGGTAACACAGAAAATGTTAAAAAACGGCCCTTTGGACGTAATTTAAAATCTGAAGACTTTCAGATTTTTATTATTTTTATTTTCTTTATATTATGCTAATAAAGGCTACATTTTAACTTAATAAATAGTTGTTAACTTTTAAATTTACTGTATTCATTCATCTGGAGAACTTGTAGTTCATTTGAGTATTTTAAAAGGGGTTCATAACTTTTTGATTACAGTTGTTCTTTACAGTTATCGCGAAGTTATCGAATATACAGTGGTGGCCAAAATTGTGGACACTTTTGGAAATTTTTATGTTTTTGAACTTTGTGTGCTTATAGAAAATGTTACGTTTCGCAAAATGCAAACTTGTATATATCATTTTAAAGAGAATTTATTACTGAATTCAATACAAAATTAATTTTCAGCAACGAAAAAAAAAAAAAAAGAAAAAAAAAAAAAAAAAAGACTACAGTGGGCAAAGGAACACATTATTTGGACAGATGATCAGTGGTCACAAGTTATATGGAGTAATGAATCTAAGATATCGTTATTCGGTAGTGATGGGCGAAAATATGTAAGACGTAGAACAGGAGAAGAGCTACATCCTGACTGCATTCAAACAACTTTGAAGAACCCAGTTAGTGTTATGATTTGGTCATGCATGTCAGCAGATGGTATTGGTCGCCTTTATGTCATCGATGGGACACTGAATGCCAGAAAATACATTGACACTATTCTAGAACCCAAACTTCTACCTTCCATCAGAGATCTCTTTCCTAACAATGCTTCGTTTATTTTTCAGCAGGATTCTGCTCCTTGCCACACGGCCAAAATATCGAGTGGTTTCGTACAAAGAGCATTATCTTGTTGTCATGGCCAGGAAACAGTCCTAACCTCAATCCTATCGAAAATTTGTGGCACCGTTTGAAAACTCTTGTCCAAATGAGGCGCCTGTCAAATAAAAGGGAACTAATTGAGGCTATAATTGTTTCCTGGCATCATGTAATAACGAAAGTAGAGCTTTAAACTCTTGTCAGCTCAATGAAACTGTAATCAAAAATAAAGGGTACCCTACTAAGTACTGATAACTCACTGCAATCATCACTATCTAATGTATATCGATAACTATTATCGTTTAACTTTTTTTTGTATTGCAAATAATTGAATTTTGTGTTTTGTATTGAATTCGGTAATAAATTCTCTTTAAAATGATGTATACAAGTTGCATTTTGTGAAACGTAACGTTTTCTATTAGCATACAAAGTTCAAAAACATAAAAAAATTTCCAAATGTGCCCACAATTTTGGCCACCACTGTAGCATTTTGGTGTTTTTACATCTTATAAAACTTCCTATATCCTATCACAAATTTTTATGTTATAGTTGAGCATAATTTTAACGGTCTCATTGCTTAAACCTGTATTTCTTTTTATACGACATATAATTCATAATAGGCTAACCGTATTTCCTAAAGTTTAAAATGGGACAACGGTATCACAAAATGAAACGAGGCCTAAGCATGTTAAAAAAAAAAAAAAAAGAATGCAGAAAAAACTTACGGAATAAAAATGTCAAGCCTAGTTTTATTCTTCAGTAGCAGAACTAAATAAAAATTTTCAGTGCATCTTAGAAAGAAACAGAATTTCACCAGGATCACGATCTTTTGTTGAATCATGTTAAAAGAAAGAAAGAAAGCGAATAAAAATTATTTAGTTAATAATTTCTGGCAACAATAAATGTTATTGTCATTAGGAGATCGCGTTTCGCAATGCTGTGTTTCCAAAGCTGTAGTTCTAGTTAGTAATTCCAATTAAAACTGCCTCTTTTTTGCTCTGTTGTTTGTTTTCTGTTTTAGTTCTAAAATCATTTGTTTTTTAGGTTATGGGTAAGGCAAGCTCCCATACTGCATCACATGTTTTCATCTGAATTTTTCTCGAACAGTAGAACAATACTAGTTATATCTAATCTAGTAAGTGGTTCATTTTCGTTATAGCTATCAGAAGTGATTAAAAATCAAAGAATGGAATTATCTGAGATTCAAGTAAAGCCTTTAACAAGCGAAAGCGATTGGCTTATATGGAAATAGAGGAAAAAATTTATTTTAAACTGTCCTCCTGAAGATTTAGAAATTGCATAAAGAACTTTAGTGGAACCAGAAAATCTTCCAGTAGATGCTTCGGTTGCTCAACAAGAGGAATATAATGAAACTGCTCAGAAGTTTCAAAACGCAAATATGAGTTCTATAATGGTAGTAACAAATTCTATGACAGAAAAAATTCTTCAAAAGGTTATGAGATTTTAGACTGCTAGAGAATTGCGGTTGGAATTACATAATTTATTTGGGGCATTATCGGAAATCAATTGTATAATATCTGCATTCAATGTTATCAGTTCAAGTGCAATGAGAATGATGCTCTTATGTGCTCATCTTTCCAAATTTAAACAATAACAAAAAAAAAAAAAAAAAAAAAAAAAAAAAAAAAAAAAAAAAAAAAAAATATGGAATGAGTTGAATTCAGGATTTGAAATGAAAAATGAAGATAAGTTATCTGACATGCTACTCATTTGCAAGATTTTAGATGTCTCACCTAAACAATACCGATATTATTACTTTTCTCGTGACTTTTCAAGTGAACAAGTTCCATTATTTGTGTCAAAATCCTAGA